ACATTTTTATGTGCATTCCGCAGTCAAAACTTAATGAGGTTGTCCGTACGTTTAACAACTATCATCCGCGTCTCAAATTCACGTATGAACTCGAGAAGAACAACACCCTGAATTTTTTAAACACGTCTGTTTTTAGACACGGTAACTGTTTGTTCACCAACTGGTATCGAAAACCAACGTTCTCTGGCAGGTATATTAATTTTTTCTCCAGTCATCCTTTGAAATACAAGATTAACACGGTCATTAATCTGGTTGACCATGCCATACTATTGTCGGATGAACAGTTTCACGATGATAACATCAAGTTAGTGAAAACCATATTGTCTAATAACTGTTTTCCTGACCTGTTGGTGAACAAACATATTCAAAGAAGAATTTCAGAAATTAACAAACGATCGAATAATGAGGATAGCGTTAACAACAAAGACAGTGCATTTACTCTTGATCTGAAAAATTATGTTCCCATCCCCTACGTAAAAACTTTTAGTGAGGGATTACGCCGTACGTTCAATAATTACGGTTTGAACACCTTGTATACGGTCCCTAAGAAAATGGATACACTAATCAGGAAAGGGAAGGACAGATTGGAGATCAAGAGATGCACTGATGTCGTTTATAAACTCGACTGTTCTGATTGCAATGCATGTTATATCGGACAAACGAAGCGACATTTAGAAACGCGTATAAAGGAGCATCGCGCAGATATTAAAAAACCCCCCATCCAACATTCGGTCGTCAGTAAGCATAGAACAGATTGCGACCATAATTTCAAATGGCAGGATGTTACAATCTTACATAAAGAACAAAATTAAAAAAAACGTGAAATTTCTGAAATGCTATTCATTAAAAAACATAAAGGGGCAATCAACTCACAGAAAGACACTGAAAACCTGCCATTGGTCTATGATCGAATAATTTCTTCACTTTAAGTTCTCCTTCTATGTTTACTGTATTTTGCGATAAGGTATCACTTTAAGTTCTCCTTCTATGTTTACTGTATTTTGCGATATTGTATCATTAGTTTTTCGGCCTTCACATGAGACCGTTGTATTTTTCCGACCCGCCACGAATTTTATATAATTGACGCACAATGATCCATGTAAGTCTTATTTACCGATTTTATCGTAAATCCGTTCAACGCGTAATGTTGTTTAATTTTTAATTTTCAAATTTTTTATATACTCTTTCATTCTTTCATTCCAGCATTGTTAAAACAACTTGAAAAGGATCCAAATTAGTGGTCGAAACGTCGTTGTGATATACTTAATAAAACTTGCCAGTCAGGCCGTTTAACTATACCGAATTAATAAATTAAATACAATAGCTCTCATAAAAAAGTATTTTGATCGCGACAACGTCGCATTTTCTGTAAGTTGGTAGCATTGATCTCACTCGACATCAGCTGCGTGAACGCGAAGTGTGTGCTCTGAGCACGTGTAATATACAGACGCAACGTTTGAGGTTAGTTTTCGCTTGCGCTACGAAAATGCCAAAAGTAAAACGTTACATGTGCAATTGTTACAATCATCTGGTGTGGTTTCGAGTGTTTCGACTCGTGTCTTCAAATTACGTTTCCCAGTATTTGTCTGTGCTAACCGTTGATTGTACACTTTTTCAGTGACAACTTTTCCTTTCCACATGTAACGTTTTACTTTCGGCATTTTCGTAGCGCAAGCGAGAACTAGCCTCAAACGATGCGTCTGTATATTACACGTGCTCAGAGCACACTTTCGATACACAGGAGGCTCTATTGGAAAAAGTAACGGACCTCTGTAGTATTTGTTATCCTTTACGGAGAGTGACGGAGAGAGAGGTTTTAATGTGACGTCATAGTGCGCTGTTGCCGGATCTCTGTACTTACGAGTTCTGCGAGACCAAGCGAGACTGTTCTCTGTATGGTTTTTATTTAATATTTCAGAAAATATCCTCGAAGTCATAATTTTTTTTGTTCTAATTTGTTTGTAAGATGTTTATTAATATTTCTGCAAAGTTTTAAAAGGATGCCATATTTTCTTCGATATTAATTTCTCAAATGAAGTTGAAAAAACAGTGAAACTTGATGAATTCCCATCAGAGCCCATGTTAAATTCAAATTGTTATAACTTTTGAACGGGCCTCGCAAACTTGTTTAAACTTGGCACAATGCTTTATTATTATAATACTCATCACCTGACAAAGTTTGAAGAATTTGGCATTTTTTCTTCTAAGGGGTCATACAACCTTAAGGCAAAATTATATAAATTCCTGTTCTCATCTTTAAGTGCATGAGACTTCTGTCGGTAGACCTGAGCGTATCTTGAGATTATTGTGTAAACTATTTTTTTGCCCTACGGCTCTTGTAAATCATTTTTTAGCTATTAGTATCTGTATTTTCTTTACTTACTTTACTCTTGTATCTTCCATTGTAGTTACTTTTTTTTTATATATAAATGCACGAATGTTTATTTTATTCGACACTCTTTGTAATTTAGTTTCGACGCTTTAGGGGACGTAGTCCCAGAGCGTCTAATAAATGATGATTCTGATTCTGATTCTGATTCTCTCTCTCTTTTCTATCTGCATTTGTAGGAAATGTAAAAAATTGTTTTCTTTAATATTAAAGAAAACATTTTTTACACTTCCTCTTGACGGAAGAGACCACCACCTTCTCGCGGTTTCCGTTGAGCAACAATATGTACGTTGCCCATTTATTTATGACAGATATACAATAATGTTGCAAACATTATATAATAATTTTTTTTTTATGTTATTACATGTATTTATTATACTGTTAGCAAAGTAATTATACTATCAAAATAATTTTTCCAAAACAAATAATATAAATTTAATTTAATTTTACTTTTCTTATGTTACTAATAATTTATTTTCTAAATTAATAACATGTTTTTTTTTTAGAAAAACGCGTACATATTGGCCAAGAGTGGATTTCTATTATTTACGCTTTTTCTGTTTATTTCTTTACTTAATTCATCTTTTATCTACAGAATAAATTATAATTTCACTAATTTATATTTAATTGATAAATTTTTTATTTTAATTAACTTTATGCTTTTAATTGTACAATAATTAAGAGACACGATAGTATCCCGCGCCTAGAATGGGAAAGGATATTTTATTATCATCTGTATTATCATCATTAATATATATCTTACAATATTTTATTATCATCTGTGGAGATACGCGAGACACAATAAACGCGCGAGATAAGTCGGTAACCTAATGCTACGGCGCCTACGGTCTACAGCGGCGCTCGAGCCGCTCAGGGAAGAAAGAGACGGCAGATATGTATGTCTGCGCTCTTCTAATCGTCCGAAGCCGGCCGAGCTATCCCCTCCACGCGTGCTGGCAGCGGGCAGGACCTCGAAATTGACATCTCTGCCACGAGGCCGGGGATTTTCTAAGCCACGGGGGCCCGAACCACCATAATTCATGGTGGACGAGGTCGACAGCAGTAGAGCCGCGAGAAGCGCAGTCGGCAGGATTGTCGTGAGAACGGACGTGCTGCCAACGTACTGACGGAAGGCGCGTCTGCACCTCGGAGACGCGGTTCGCGACGTAGGAATTCCATCTAGATGGATGTTGCTGAATCCATGCCAATGGGATTTGGGAATCAGTCCAGCCGAATAATAAAGCTTGCGGAAAGCGCAGGGAATTTCTTACCCAATCTAACAACCGAGTTAATAGAACGACGGCGTTCAGTTCTAATCGGGGAACGCTGACGGTTTTTAACGGCGCGACCTTCGTTTTGGCTGCAAGGAGGGTAACCTGAATATTCGTGGTAGAATGCACGATTCGGAGGTAAACGACCGCGGCGTAAGCTCGAATGGACGCGTCCGCGAATCCGTGTAATTCGACTTCGAGTTTATCTTGACGCATCCCTGTCTATCGGGGAATGCGTATTTCACTAATATGAGGTAAATCCGTAAAATAATTAATCCAATGAGGTAAAAAATCGTCGGGATAGGAGAGTCCCAATCAATTTTACGGAGCCAGAGCTCTTGCATCAACATCTTGGCCGCGATGACGATCGATGACGCCCATCCGAGGGGGTCATATAACCTTGCAATAAATGATAAAACGGAGCGTTTAGTATAAACTGTTACGGCGTAAGGCGAGATTACAAAACTAAACGAGTCGTCAAGCGGGGACCAAGACAGGCCGAGGACCTTGAGTGTGTCATCGCGATTGATCGGATAGTCCGAGGATTCACGTTGGTCCTCCGGGATATCCGTCAAGAGTTCGGCGGAATTCGCGGCCCATTTTCGGAGGGAAAAACATCCGCGATTCATCATGCCGACAAGTTGCTTGCGTTTTTCGAGCAGCGACAGAAGGTCGTCTGCTCCGAAAAGAACGTCATCGACGTAGGTCGATTCTTCGATTATGGAAACCGCGTCGGGAAATTCTTTACATTCGTCACGAGCTAATTGAAGAAGGCAGCGCTGCGCGAGAAATGGCGATGGCTTTTGGCCGTAAGTCACGGTGAGCAAGCGGTAAGGTCGAATCAACAGACTTTCGAGAGGGCGCAAAAGAATTCGTTGGAAATCCGCGTCGTCCCGATGCATGCGTACCTGACGGAACATCTTCGCGATGTCCGTCATGTATACGTAACGGAATAGTCGCCAGCGTAAAATTATCGCCGCGATGTCTTGTTGTAGCTCCGGACCCGCCATTAGAAAATCATTGAGAGTGGTTTTATCGTCCGATTTGCTCGACGCGTTAAGCCCGTATCACACTAGCGGCTCGCGGCGCGACTGCGATTGCGTCTGCGATTGCGATTCTATTTCAGCCAATCAAAAAGGTAGCTATCAGCGATTACGATTGGCGTCAGCGATTGCGACTGGCGACTGCCGTTTGGTAAAGCCCATATGGCCGCGACTACGATTGCGTCTGTGATTGCGATTCTATTTCAGCCAATCAAAAAGATAGCTGTCAGCGATTGCGACTGGCGACTGCCTTTTGGCTTTGAATCCATTTTTCGAGTCGCAGTCACAGTCGCAGCCAATCACAGGATCCGATTTGGTCACGTGGTGCAATGTGGTGCTAGTGCGTGAAAACCACGTGTATACGACCGTGTTGAAAACAATAATATTGAACATCTGTGATATTGAAGCAGATAGAAAGTCACACAATGCCACCGAAACATAATTTCTCGAAAGAGACAGATTACCGTCTGATCGACCTTGTGGAATTAAAACCACTTTTTTGGGACTGTACAAGCCACTTGTACAGACGAACACATCTTAAGATTGCAGTATGGGACGAAATAGCCGAGCAGTTGGGTTCAGATTTCACAGGTATGTCTCACAATCAGAAGTGAATCGGTTCAATACTATCAGCTATTTATAATTTATTATAATTAATTTAATATTAACTAACATAACCTATAATTAATGAATAATTAATATATATTAATGTTTCTTATAGTTTATATTGGAGTGGATTAAATAATTACAATTTTTTGTAGGAAATATATTAATAAGTTAAAGTTATGCAGAATTAAAATAATAAAATTATGTAATAGGCTTTTTATTGATGCTATTTACAGGTGTTGTTGTATCAAGCCGTTTTAAAAACATGAAGGATACATTTGCAAGAAATTTAAAAGTTATGAAAGAATCAAAGCGCAGTGGAGCTGGCACAGACAATATATACAAGCCCAAGTGGCACATGTTTGAGAGATTAATGTTTCTCCAAAAGAGTTGTATCCAAGGAGACTCACAATCAAATATTTCCCCCATCCAGCTAGAGACAACTGCAGCATCAGATTCAGAATCTTCACAAATCAGTAATGAAGCGAATGATAACACATCATGTACACAAAATACACCACTTATCTACCATGATGAAGCAATGCAGGTAAATTATTTTTTAAAGTAATCGTCATTATGTTATTTTCTTTTTATTTTGTTTTATTTTGTTTTATTTCTTTTTTGAAGTAAAAATGATATTTTTACAATCTCGGTAAATCACAGTACAGAAACTAATTCTATATGTATCTGTAATTATTTTTCAGGAATTTGCGATAATACCACCTGAAGTAAATGTAGGAAGTACACACTTGACATCTTCTGATCCAAATTCTTCTAGTGTATCTGCATGTAGCGATTTTGAACCAATTGCACCTCTACCAGAAAAGAGTCGTCACCTCAATCTCTCCCAAGGCTGGCATCTAATTCTGCACTCAGCAGCATCACTCAATCTTCTCAACAACAACAAAATCCTGTTACTGTATCCAACAAGCGATCATCAGAAAACCAAGAGCAATTATTTTATAAGAGAGAATTGAAAACGAAAAAACAATCATCAATAATGGAGGAGGCTGTAGGTGCCTTGAAACAGATGGCTCAACCTGACCCAGTTTTATCTCTTCCTCAACCTGAAATTAATGATTCAGCTCATACTTTGGCATTATTCTTAGAAATCAGGCTTCGTTCATTATCTCTGGAGAATCGAAAAAAGTGTGAAGACGAAATTTTGAAACTGTTAGCACAGTTTTGAAGAGTTTAAAATTAAGTAATTAGTTATTAAATAAGTATTTTTTTTCGGCTGTGCCATTGTAATGCAAATACCTAAGTTTTTATTTTTTTCTTATTCAAAGATAAAGTAGATATTATCTATTATAGTGAGACATTTAAACAAGTGTTAATTTATTTTATAGAGAACTTGTTACAATACATGAACATGTATTTTATTTTATAGAGAACACTTATTTGATACATAGAATGTTTCTATGGCTTATTTTCATATTGTACTTATGTAATATTGTACTTAAAAAAAATTAACAGAAAAGTATATATGTACCATTGAGATCTCAAAACATATCTTTATTGTAGCGTTTAACTATCGTTAAATACATTATATCTGAGTACAAAATTCACAAGGGACTCATATTGCTGTTATCCGAATCAACATTGATTAAATTTCTAACCAAGCAGCACTGCGCTTTGGTCTTGACAATCTTCCTACCCATACTTAATTGCGAAAATGTACCTTTTATTAGCGGGAGAATTAAGCTTGGACGACAAATGCACGAATGCCTCAAATAGAGTAGGTCTATTCATGATATTCACCTCGTAATGCTTAACTTTCTCTCTGGTGCACCAGTTAGCCGCTTTGCTCACAGTGTTCTCCAAGTTATTCAACCCGGCATCGGTTTTCGTCGTTCAATTACCAATCACAATCACAGTTATCTCCTTCTTATCCTTATTCTTGTCGATGTCCTTCTTCAGCGGGAAGAGCACAGCGGGAAGAGCACATCGAGAGATTCGGGTTTGCCAGTTTCCATATTATTTTCGAAGAATTCTGGTAGATCCTGATGTGTTAATAAAATAATATAATTTGTAGAAATAAATTCCTACTTATAATTCCTACTATATACACGTATACATATAAATGCTTACTTGAAAGTTAAGAGAGTAGATACTTTACATAAAATAACTAGGGAATTATATATAACCTTCAAGGCTTCCATATTATTAGCATGTACTTGCGTTAAATTCATTGTAACCTGCAAAATATCTTATTTAGAAATATCCATCTTTGAAAATACATGCATTTTTAATGCATGCAACGCAACTTAATAAAACATAGATACTTATTAAAAACAGATTTGTTAAATGCTTGGCAAAATTATCTGATACAAATTTTATTTCTGTCCATAGGCGGCGTAGCTTTTCGATACCTTTGCCGATGCCGCGGCTCTCGCTTTTAAATTCGTATCTATATCTCTTAAATAAGGAATGCGCCGTGTGTAGGACTCCATTGATCACATGAAAATCGCGTGTTGAACTTCTCTACCATCTGATCAATCAATTCTGGCCACTTGTTCGGAAAGTCATATTTTCCAATAATAGATACTGCATCAGACAACTGCTTTTGTATCGAATCTGGTGAATGTAACATCAGATTAACGATTAGTTTCTTGACGGCATCTCTGTCTTGGGCATGTATACGATCCACTGAATCCTCCTCCTAAAATAACATTCTGCAATAGTAAACTAACATACGATGTAAGAACATTAAAATAAATAAATGAATATAAACCCAACCACTTTCCAGTTGCGCTTAACATAATTCTTTTAAATTGCGCCGGCAATCCTAATCGTGATGTTAATCTCAGATTTGTCCACCAAATGAAGTAGTAGTAAAGGATAATTCTGATTGACTTCCACCGACTCCAGAAACTTTCTCGGCTAAAATATAAATTGGATATTAACGTACGACACGCGTACAATGTTTAAAATATCACAAAAATAATAAGTTTGTAGGTTATACCAACCTGGACGTTTGACATTCACGTCTGGGCTGAGAGTGTGTGTTTCTGATATTCGCTCAACGTTACCAAATTGTCGTCGGTGAGCTCCATGTCGGCGATCAGGAAAACGATTCCTTTACTCAGTTAGCCTTTCTTTCAGGAGATACAACACGGCGGCATCGGCAAAGGTATCGAGAGAAAAGCTACGCCGCATATTATCGCATGTAATGGCATGTAACAAAAGTAACAACCGGCTTTCCGTTGGTCTGTTCGGTCTGTTGCGACAGGTCACACGAATTCCAATCAACGAAAAGCGTAAACTGCGCCACCGCGGCAGCTGCAATATGATTGGACAGTAGCCAGTCGCAATCGCAATCGCAGTCGCAATCGCAGACGCAATCGCAGTCGCGCCGCGATCCGCTAGTGTGATACGGGCTTTAAACACGACGCGTAATTTAGTAGTCGTACTCGATTCGCGTAAAACGAAATGATGCGGAATGTACACCGGGGAGTATCGAGAGGGCTCGTCGGCGTGTACCTTCTCCATGTGCCCCATGGATTCGTACTCCTTGAGGAAATCGTGATACTGAGCGGCGATCTCGGGTTTCTGCGAGAGTCGGCGCTCCATTTTGGAGTACAAGAAAGAAGTCTTTCGAAAAGTTTCGCTTATGTAAGGGGGGCCGTTCTTGAACGGCAAACGAACAATGTAACGTCCTTGAGAATCGCGAGAATGCGTACTAGCGAAATGATTTTCGCAACGTTCTTCCTTTTCGGTGAGAGGATTTTGAGAGGGGATATTTTCGTCCTCCCAAAAACTTTGAATCAAGGAATTCGTATCCTCGCAGGATACGCAATTCAAAACGGGAGCGGACTCTCCGGCTGGGTGTGCGGTGCCGGTAGGACCGGAGACGATCCACCCGAAAACAGTAAGCTGGCCCGTCGGGGTGCCGACCGGCCTTGACGGAGGCCGTCGAGCAGCAACGACCCGTATAAATCCGCGCCGATTAGTACATGAATCGGGTGATTACAAGAGGGATCGGGATCTGCTAACGGTAAATCGCGTAGATGCGACCACATTGCGGCTGGCTTTATTTGAGAGGCTGTGTACGAAGTGATTCGTTGGTATACGTAGCCCGAAAATGGGAATATCGGTCCCTGTTTGTCGCAGGGCGCGAGCGCACGAAAAAAATGATGTTGTATCAACAGCATCAGTGTAATTGAAATAAAATTGGTTGATTCAACATCAATATTAATGAACGAAATGCATCAGATAGTCAATTTATAATCCAGATTTGGTCCAATTAATATCATTGTAGTTGGAATATATCGTTATATCAATCATATATCTACTCATCCCAAACACATAATTCTTTATTATAATTACATATGAATTAAATAACTTTCTTGATGTATAATTGAATACCATGTAATCTATGTAACTACATCTGCTGTTACGTCAACTGCGTGAAATACTTAAAGAAAATCAACGGTACGGTTAATGTTATTATGGTTGCTACATATGCACGATCTTGTTGATTCAAATATAAATTTATTTAATCTGTATACTTTGTGTATATTGCTACAAATCAGTTATTTGTCAGATATTGCACTTAAATATTATTGATTTATGTGCAATGATTTTTTAGAGGAAATAGAAATGTGTGTATATTAATTATACAAATACTCGATGCAATCGACACGTGTAATCCTTAATATCTTTGTGTACATATATAGACAAGATATTATAAGTACATGTTTCAATCGTATCAAACAAATATGTATCAATATGAAAACATTTCTATTTTCTCTAGATAAAAAAATGCATATGATTCAATAATATTTAACTGTAACACCTGACACGCGTAATGCTGTTAATTTAAGTACGGCAACTACGTAAAATACTTAAAGCAAGTCAACGGCACAGTTAATATTATCATGGTTACTACATATGCACCATCTTGTTGATTCAAATATAAATTTATTTAATCTGTATACTTTGTGTATATTTCTACAAATCAGTTATTTGTCAGATATTACACTTAGGCCGGTATTCATAGTCGAATCTTATATTTAAGATCGTCTTAAGTACGATCTTAAGATGTTATGAACCAATAATCACAGAGCCGTATCAGCATCTTAAGATATTACTTAAGACGATCTTGAAATAAGGTCTGACTATGAATACCGGCCTTAGAGCCTGTTCACACGAGGCGGTTTTAACACGCGGTTGCGCTACCGCGCGTGGCCGCGCGTTATCGCGAGGCGAGGTGCGACAACGCGCGTATACGCGCGTACGCGGAACGACGCGACGATGAGCGTCTACGATACGCTTTGCGGCATTTTAGATCCATAGGCACGCCGCACAGTGGGGCGAACGCCTCATTTTTTGGTCATTTGCTTATAACTTCTACATTTTTCAATGAAATGACTTGAAACTTGACATAAATAATGTACGATTATTATACATTTAATGTATGAAATCAAAATTATTTAATTAACAATTTTTTATAAAGCGCATAAATGATTTTTTAATTTTTTAAATACTTTTTAGTTTTTTTTGAAAAATCGGTTATATTTAAAAAAAATTTTTTTATTTTATATTTCTTTAGTGCTTTATTAAATTAATATAAATAATTATTATTGCATATTTCATTACTGCTCCGTACCCTGATGTTTTAGCGCGATATTTTATGTACTAAAACCTTCCTGGAGAATTGCTCTATAGGACAGTGAAAACCGCATTTAAATCCGTCCAGCAGTTTTAAAGAAAATCGTAGACATACATACATACATACATACATGCCGAATATAGAACCTCCATTTTTTGAAGTCGTACTTAATGCAATCCCTATCAATCAAATCTGTTCCATTTTCAATTTCTTCACAGAATTGTCTAATCTTTTTGACATGTTCGAGATGTCTCTGGATAAAATTATATATAAATAGCGCGTCATCGGATTTTAACTTTTTCCGAACAATAAAATCAGTAATTTCCGGATTATTCCGTACTTCCTCAGTTCTCTTTTTTTTATGTCGTTCGGAACATTCTACGAAACTCTTTGATCTATTAAAAAGCATACGCGTACGTGAAGAAGTAGAAATTAAATTCAGTACTTCGTTCGGAAAAGAAAATTCACAATTTAACCAACTTTCATGCTTTGCAATAAATCTGTTGTAATCGTAATGGCTAGCTATCCATTTTGACTTTAAATTCTTCGTGAAATTTATGATTTTTTGTTTCAATGCTTCCAACGCAATTTTGGGTAATTCAGTATCAATACATGATATTATGTGGCTTATTAAAGCCTCATAATTTGATAAATCAAGATTATTTGCACGCATACAATTAAAAAGTTGACGATTTGTTCGGAAATTTTCCATTTTGCGAGCGTGTTACTTCTATATAAAAGATAAAGAATATATAAAAGATAAAGAATTTTACTTTATATACCCCAAGAGGCCTTAAAGGGCGTTTTGAAGGGACGTACCCAACCCTAACCTCCAATTTTCATCCACTACCTTACTGTTTCCTCCTTTGGACCAACGGTTTAACGTCTCTTCCGAAAGACGGAGCCCAGTTTTCTCCGCATCTTGTACAGAGGGGCGCGGTTTTTTCAGAAAAAAACTTTTCCATGATTCATGGCTCTAGTGGACTCGAACCTGGTTCCTCAGATTACGAGTCTGGCGCTCTACCACTAGACCACACCGCCGCCCATATAATCTTCTATATATTTTATATATTCTATATATTTTTCACTGTATCCTGAAAAGGACGCAAAGTGAATTGTATAAAGCAACGACAAAAACTTCGACAAAAACGATCAAAACTTTCAAAATCAAAAAGTCTTTAATCAAGTACTGATCGAGAAAGACTGACGAAAAGTTCTTATCTTCGCTGTTTTTATTTCCTCCCCTCCCCTCTCCTCCTCCCTCCCCTCCCCCTCTCTTCTCCCTCCTCGAGGAGAACAAATAATATAACGTAGAGCAATCTTATTGGCCCAAGGATTTACAGAATGCGCAGTACTCCAAATACATTTATCCAATAATATTTATCATATTGCTATTATATTAATTAATGTAATTAATTGTTATAAAATATGGATGAAATTAATCGTTATAAAATAGCAATAATTAAACAAATTATATATCCCCCTTTGTCTTTCTTTTATGAGAAAATAGACATCCATATTCACTCGACATGATTGAACGTCGTCCATTGAGCTATTCATGGACGACGTTCGACCATGTCGAGTAAACTTTGAGGTCAATTATGTCAAAAAGAGGGACGAAAGGGGATGAATGATCATATATAGCCAAAATCTAGACACTTTGCCCTATCAAATGGCGCAGAGCAAACCTTAATCCATTCTAATCCACAAACTTTCTTCCTGTTTGAATATTGAAGTAAGAAAATTTTAATAGTCGAATATGTCGTGAATATTTATTAATATATAATAGTACTCGAATGACATAAAACTAAAATAAATATGTTTTTTATACCCTAATAAATAAGTTCTGATAGGCATTTAACTCATATTCGCAGTTATGCTTTCGGCAGAGTCTTTAGAAAGTAACCTATCGAATTACTAGAATTTCAGTGTTCACGAAAATGTCATACTTTATCAGATCATATTGAGGAAAGAACAAAGGATAGAATCAATTATAAGTACATTTATTTATAGTTTAGGATATATATTAACATAAAATCTCGTCAAAATTTGAATTATAC